ATATAAAATACAGTCAGTTGTCCAATTTGGGATTTAAAATTTAAGTCTAGAGTTTGTGTCAGAAAATATTCAAAGAACTTGAACATGGTAGCTCAGCAGAAATGGCCCTTGAAGGTCTTCCAGACTTCGGTCCAAAAGGTGCTCCTTGCCAGAGTACACAAGAGCAAAAAGAGCAGAAAGCCTTCAATGGAATAAAAGATGAAGCTAAAACAATTTTTGGCAAAGCTACTGCAGAACAACAATCGGATTCTTCAATGGATGAACTCACCTTATCTTGCATTGTAAGATGACAACGTGATGTTGCCCCTGTTCAAATGCAACAAGTGTTTTTCCAGAAAATTACAGACTACTGCAAAACCTGCAGAAACTGACCCAAGATCTTCCTCTGATTTCAATCAGCTCTGGATAGTTTTGGACAAAGTGATATAAAAATGAGAATAGCTCAATGCAGAAGGTTGTGTTGTGGTCTAAGCATTTCCAGATTACATGGAAGCTTTTACTGGAACATCTCTCCAGCCCACACTGGAAAAGGAATTTACACTAATTTCTTTGTCTAGCTGCTTTTTTTTTCCCACTATTACACAATATACAGGGCCTCAATCAGCAGATTTACCCCTCAAAATATTGCTCTGTTTTTTATATATGTTATAAAGTACACTTGGATTAAAATTAAATATAACTGACATATAGGAAGGATGCTTCTTCAAAAAAAGATAAGAGCTTAGATGCAAGTGGGTTCTAAAGAAATTTCTTACCTACAGCTTTTCCCGTTTGTACAACATTTCGGCTCGTGGAAACCATCACATTTCCAATCTTCTTTCCTCGTTCACTGTTTTGCACAGAGCTAAATAAGAGAGAGACTGAAGGCTGTTAGTTGTCTGACTTCTTATTCCTTCCAGGTGTAAATAAAATACATATTTAAAATATATATCAATAGACACACAGAGATTTACATAGCATGGATGTACATATAAATAATAATATGCATAACTGCATGCATAATTCCTGCATGCATCTTATCCACACAGATCAGTTAGGTAAGCTTCTCAGAAGAAGAGAAGATAATATCAGCAAGACAGGAACCAAAATGCCCAATGCTGTAACTCTTATACAACACATTTATACCTTTCCTAAATGTCTACCAAAATGTTTTTATGTTCTAAACTACAAAAAGTCAGATTTGCAGTAGTTTTGAGACATTTTAGCCCCAATATATAAGCTTTAAACAAAACAGTAAGTGTTACTGATCGGTCAGTATTATTTTTCCTAAATAGAGTTTACGTTGCATCTTGCTTGAAGAGTAAATTACCACTCAAGTACAGTTTACACTCATGCTTTTGTTAAAGAAATGCAAAAAGCCTACAGGCACTAACGTCATTTGGAAAGAAAAAGACAGAAGCAATCAGTTCTACTGCACAAGTGTGGTCTCTTGAAAATAATCTCATTTACTTTTAAATTGTATCATTCAAGTCCACATTTCAGGCTTTGCAAACCCATGGAGGTAAAACTTAACAACACAGCATGCCACATTCTTTTCTCATTTTCAACATCTTCAGTGTAGATGCAAAAAGCAGAAAGAATAGAGTGTAGCAAGAACAAGCTCAGGCTCCAGCTTGCAAAAGCAAGTCATTTTGATGAGTATTTGATAGCAAAGTCACATCTGGAGAATAAAGGCACTGTTGTAAAAATATTCATTATTAGAGACACACTCAGAACTACTAAGCCTTTTACATGGATTTCAGGCTACTCAGAAGAGTTAGTATCTTCCCCTTTCAAACACAAAAACACGGCAAGTAAAAGATTATAGATACCTCCACATCTTTCACATTAAGTCTTTCTACAAAGCCCATCCATTAATAACGAGAGCTGCTATCACCATGCACCTTATGGAAGGCAATTAATTACCTTGAGATAAATCTTGATTCATTTGCATTCTCAATCACCATCACGGAAATTTAATCTGTCATTGGTCAGCAAAAGGAACAAAAAGATTCAGTGGGCTGAAGTCTGAACCTTTTTATTCCTCAAGCTGTTTTTCTACATTAGCGTGTGTTTTAGGGCTACTCACTGAGTACTAAAAATAACAGTCAACCATCCAAGGCAGGTGCAGAATCAGCAGCATGTATGTATTGCTGATATAGAGGCATCTTAAAGAACCCCTCTCTGATGTTTTATGGTCAACAACAGGGAGAAAACAATCTATTTTGCTTCATGCATAACAAGAAGAGATCGTTAACTGCAACTCCAAGACTGAATTCTGGCTTCATTTAGAGCTGAACAGCTATGGGAATAACAAGCACCACAAGTTTTAGACTTGAATACTACAGGCAAGAGCTAAGATCAACTTAAAGTTCAGTTAAGTGTGGTGCAATAAGAGATTATGTAAAACTCATTTTAAACTTCTAAATTGAAGAAACTGAACCATATAGTCCATGTAGAGTGAACTTTGAGAGTTTTAAAACACTGATGAAAGTTTTAACAGCTTTAGTTTACAATTTAGGAATAAATGTATAAAAGCCTTATAATTGCAATGCAAAAATGTAGGACTTTATATAGAACCATAGAATCATAGAATGGTTTGGATTGGAAGGGACCTTAAAGCTCATCCAGTTCCAACCCCCCTGCCATCAGCAGGGACACCTTCCACTAGACCAGGTTGCTCAAAGCCTCATCCAGCCTGGCCTTGGACACTTCCAGGGAGGGGGCATCCACAACTTCCTTGGGCAACCTGTTCCAGTGTCTGACCACCCTCACAGTGAAAAACTTCTTCCTAATATCTCATCTAAACCTCCCCTCTTTCAAGTCCAATAAAAACCAGTACACTAGCACTGTTTTACCCTATTTCAGGCCAATGTTTCAGCTTTAGATGTGGTGATGCTTTCTTTGCAAGAGAAGGTTGAGTATAGTTGCATGTACATGGCCAATTGAAATCATTATTTTATTTAGTTCATCATAGCAATAGTTATACAGTTAATATTTGACCACATTAAAAATAAAATATAAATCAAAGTACTATATACTTACTGTGACAATCTTAATTTAACATCTGATACAGAGTACTGCCCCTGGAATGGGTGGCTAGAAGAGGAGGAGAAACCCAAGAAAACATTAAGTATTTATTTTTTCACGAATCCATATCACACAATTATTAGTTGTACTGCTTTTTGTGGCTTACAAAAAAAAAAAAATCTTTTATAGATATGCTACTATATCACTTTACAGAAGGCCAGGTGCCAGTCACTGCTCAACCTTGGATTTCTTACGAACTACCTGTAAAGTGCCTTCTATTTACAGACCAGACATTGACAACCTTTTCACACTAAGACAGAGACATCTCCTCAAGCAACACAGAGCAAATAAAAAAAGAAAAAAAGATCCCTCAAGTTGACCAAAAGAGCTTTGTAGGTCTAAAGAAAAACCTTCTTCAGACTACAGCAGCTGACAAAACAAAAGCAAACAAAAGTCCCTGCAGTACAGTAATAACTCATGCTAAGCAAAACACTTGCACAGCCAAGCCTGTGATCATATCTTTGAGTGGAAATACACATAAAACAATCCAAAGTCTAGAAGATGCACCATAAATCAGCCAGCTTCAACGACAACCCTGGACACCTGGAAGCAATTAATAAAAACCAGAACCATCTGAGGACAATTCCTGAGGAATGACAAACTTCCTATAGCTGGGGACAGCCAACAATCAACTTGAAATTCCACTTTTGCTGACTCGGGATATTTTTTTTCTCCACAAAATTGTAGTCCAGAATTAGACTGAAGTATTCGAAGAACAGAAATACTCATTCTCTGTACTTACAGAACAGGGCCCCAAAGTTTCACCCTCAGAGCTTTACATCAGGAGCAAGGGGAACACTGTAATTCTACAGACCAGTGTGCCTGGCAACATTAAATGTTAAAAAAGTTTCCTTACCTAGAATTTACCTCTGCAAGAGCTGGATGCTTGTTGCTATTCCATACTCTGTAGTTGTGTGTATTTTTCCAGGCTGCTACAAATGCCGTTCCAAAGTCTGACAAAGTCTTCTCGTTGTCTGATAAATTAAAATACAGATGAGAATTTGCAGCAATTCATTAGCAATGTAAAACAAAACAAGTTACTTTTTTTTCTTGTAAAGAAAAATTAACATTTTCCAGGCTAATTAAAACTCTAGTACTAAGAACTGGGCACAGTTTGTTTTATTTTTTTAATGTTTTATTATTTTAATTTTATTGTGTCCCAAATAAACAATGCCAGGACAAGAGAGAGAGAAAAAAAAGCTTAAAAAAAACCAACCAACTTTTAAAATTTTTCGTTCATTTATAAGGTTCTGGGTAAAGAGCTCAACTGGAGGTTAGGGGGAAAAAAAAAGACAAGAATAAAGTTAATAGGGTCAGTGCTGGACAAACAAAACGTTTTCCATAAATAAAACACAGATTCTTTTAGTTATATTCATGCACAAAAGGTTGGAATGTAGAGAATTCCATCTGAGTTCAGACAAAAAATGTTGAGCTCTACAATACACAAGCTTATAAAGCCTCTAGATGACACTTTTCACCTATGTGAATCCCTATTTAAGACCATGGCAGGAGGGGAAACAAGATTAAATAGCTTCCTGAAGACAGACACTTAACTTCATGTCTCCTTCAATCTAACTCGTTCCCCAAAATTAACTCCAGATTGCAATAGAGTCTGTAAGACACCCAAGTTTGTAAAAATCTCATCATATATGGAGTTTTGGGTACTTCTGCTTATGAGGAAAGCTTAATTAAATCAAGGAGAAGGATACAGTCAAAAAAGAAAGTGTCTGTAAGGCTGTCAAGGAATAATTAATAATAAGCTTGTCACAGAATAACAAGGATAGCCCAGGACAACCAAAAAAGCAGCCTAAAATGAAATGATATGCAAGGGAGATCCAATGACAGGCCACAGGCTTAATGCAACAGAGCATTTAGAACATAAAAGACAGAGAATAAGACAGAGAATCTGTAATACCTCGTTGCAGCACAGCAGAGAGCAGTGCATGAAGATAAGCACTGAACTGAGCCCTGATCCACTCATCTCCTCCTTCCCATCCAGTACCATCAAGGAAAACATCATCTCTGTTCTCAGTAACGTGCTTTACCAAGTAATCTGCAAATCTTAGGTCAGCAGTTGTTGGGTTGAGGATCTTACGGAGTTCTGGATCGTGGATTTGTACATGAGCATCTTCTATCTGTTTGAAATAATTCCAAGGGTAAAAATATTTACTTAAATAAAACTGCTTACATATGCTACCAGGTATTGCTACTTGAACCTAAACCCACAGTCCCCCAAAATATCAAGAAACAAATGGCTAAAGAAATAATGAATGAACTGTTATCAGAAAGTCAGATATTGCGCTGATATAACCAGAATCTGATGATTTTTCCTAGCACATAGTAAAAGGTGCATATTTAACAGGATTTGGCAGGGGAAGTTTGGGGCTCACATGTATTTTCCTAGAGGTTCTTTGATTATCACTTCAATTTATTAAGTTGGTTAGTTGGTTTATTTTATTAAGTTGGCTATCTTAGGCTACCAAATGCTGATTATATAGTTGTATCTATTTGCTAGAACTGACACAGTCAGTGTTTTCTTAGATACTATTTTTTTTTAACCTCTTGATTAAATCAGAAGGAAGTCAATAGCAGTGTGCTTTATTATCCAGTGGTATCTGTTTCTCAGCTGCAAGCACTTATTTTTGAAGATCTTAGTACAAAGTCATGAAAAAAGCCCATGACATGAAAAGTAAAATTACACCAGCAACAAAATAAAAATTTAAGAAGTATCTTGCAAATTCAAATATTGGATGTAAGAATATACAGAAAAACATGGATTAGTTTTGCACAGTTTATCTAATTCTATCCTAACAAACGATACAAATTTAATAAGCTCCTGCATTTTAGAATTTATTTCATAGGGAAGCAATTAAAAATTTGGGCATGAAGGTGAAACTCTAAAGCTATATTTAAAAATGCAAACTCTGCTTCCCCGCTGCCACCCTTCTCTCTGGTTCAAGAAGTTGAAATGCAAAGATTCCTACTTCCACAATTGCATCGCTCAGATGTTTCTGCTGACGGAACAGGATATTGGTGGCTCCTGCAACAAAGCCGCGGACTGTTATATCTGACAGGAGATGATGCTGCTGCAGCGCCATGTACGGCAAACAAAGGTACCCCTAGAGTAACAGAGATATTTTAGAGGATTAACAGAATGCCAAAAAAAAAAGGTCTCTATTCAAAAAGCCAGTACACTCCACCAAGAATGAACCTCAGGTATCACAATTTCAGCCACGGTGACGGAGCCCTGGGACAAGCTGCCCAGGGAGGGTGTGGAGTCTCCTTCTCTGGAGACATTCAAAACCCACCTGGATGCCTTCCTGTGTGATCTCATTTAGGGTCCTGCTTTGGCAGGGGGATTGGACTGGATGATCTTTCGAGGTCCCTTCCAACCCCTAATATTCTGTGATTATCAATGGTTTTACTACATTACATCTGCAAAGCAAAGCAACTAGATTCCACGTGTCAGGACTGAAACTCAAACACAATGCAAAGGACAGGAATCAAATGTGTCTATAAAGGGAACAGAATAAGCAGCATAAAACAAGAGTGAGGTCTTAGGTTAGTTCAGAGACAAGAAGTCAATGGAGACAAAGATTCATCTCTCTGTTTGCATACCATGATGTCTTCTGGTAGTCCTGAGGCACACCATGCAGGAAAGCTAGACTGCTATCCACGTTTTGTAGGTGGAGACTTCCAGGCTCCAGAGAGAGCAATCAATTTTTGATAAGCATATGCATGCCCTCTTTAAGAAAGAGCACGATAGAAAGCAATACACTGTGCTTTTTAGCTACTCGTAAGTTAATCTTGTATCCTACATTCAAATACAAAAAAAACCCCAAACATTTTGAGGGCTGGAGCACCTCTCCTATGAGGACAGGCTGAGAGAGTTGGGGCTGTTCAACCTGGAAAAGAGGATTCTTAGGGGAGACCTTATAGCGGCCTCCCAGTACCTGAAGGGGCTACAAGAAAGGCTGGGGAGGGACTTTTCATAAGGGCAGTTAATGACAAAACAAGGGGAAATGGGTTTAAGCTGGAAGAGGGGAGGTTTAGATGAGATATTAGGAAGAAATTCTTTCCTGTGAGGGTGGTGAGACACTGTCTCAGGTTGCCCAGAGAAGCTGTGGCTGCTCCTCCCTGGAAGTGTTCAAGGCCAGGTTGGATGAGGCTTTGAGCAACCTGGTCTAGTGGAAGGTGTCCCTGCTGATGGCAGGGGGGTTGGAACTGGATAAGCTTTAAGGTCCCTTCCAATCCAAACCATTCTGTGATTCTATGATTTTGAATAAAGGCTTTGAAGTAAGTCATTGAGAGATCACAGAGAAGCAGCTTGTAGGTATTGTAATCTTCTTTTTAAATATAGGATCATCATACCCCTGAAGTCTAATACTGACGACTAATTCCAGCTCTTCAATTGCACAAAGTAATTTACTCACTAGTAGAAACCCAGAAGGGCTAACAGAATACTGGGCAGAAACAAAGAGCACATGCACCTCAGCACACAGTACATGGTAACTGGAAACACATGGAAGAAAGCAGCACAACTATTCCCTTTTGTTATATCAGACACAGGGATGGCTTTCCAGATGACAAGTACTCAACTGAAAACAAACAGCCTGTGTCCAAGGAACAATGGTGCTTTGAAAGGAATCACCAACCTAAAATGGAAAATTTTCAAAAAATATGGCTTAAGAAGCTGGCAAAGGAAGGTTTAATTAATGTATATATAAAATCAGCAAAGTCTTGAAAATCTTTCACTATTTAATGTACCAAGTGTCACTTCCCAAGTTTGTATTTGTCTGTATGTATCACAACTTTCATTTCTGTGAACATGCTCCATTCTTTTTAAAAGAGTGCAAATGAAATTGGTATTAGATCTCACAGAACTGGTGCTAAAGAAACAAGTATCACAACTTATTTTTCCTTATGCTCAGGTGTACTTGGATAATGTATTATGCCATCTGGCAAAACCTCCTCCCATTCAAACGTGTCAGATTTATTAGTCCTTCCACGGCATGGCATAAAACAAGCTTGAGATGAGAGCTCTAAAAGAGGTTTAAACTTTCCAGTAAGTGGTTAAACTATAACTTTGAATCACATTTTTCTGATAACTTAAGAGATGTAAAGCCTTTTCTGCTTTAATTACATTGGATGAACTCAAATGAAAAGTGCCTTTGTGGAACAGAAGGTAAACACATAGAAACTGTCAGCTTCCTTAAAATTGTTTACTTTTCCATTTTATGAGCTTAGTAGCAAACTGAAGTTTGCACTCATAGGCCCTTTTATCAATTATTTTCTTCTTCAGTCTAGTATTTCCAACAGAAGTAGACCAAATACTATATACAGGCTATTCTTTTCATTAGACAGACCATAATAACAAACACCAGGCTGCAGATCTCTGTTGGAAAAGTATTTCTAACACTGATGTGAGGCAATAGAAGGCATTTCATGCTCGCTTGGGCTCGCAGAGCATACCCTTTCCAGGGAAAGTTATTGTGAGAAGCTCAAACACAATCATCAAACACCACGTTCTGCAAGGAAATGCAAACAAGCACCTCCAAAAGAAGAAACACCACTCTGAACCTCATCAGCTTGAGGAAATAAAATTGCATCTTCTACTTTCCAAGCAAATGTTCACTTAAAAGGTTATTACATTAAAAGCAAAACAAAAACAAAAAGTGTATTGGATCACTTCTTTTACTGACAAAAGTATCTTTAAAAGGGAGGCGTTTTCCCTGATTTTAATGGGAAAGCAGACCCAGTAAATGTATTGCTTGTTATCTGACAATGCCCAGCGCAGTCCTTACAGAGACTCTGCGTTACCTGGAGTTGAGTTAGGCGTGAGGGCAAGCTTAAAATTCAGCAGCTCAGC